TCTGAAAATATTCCTAAACCATCGTTTTACATAGAGCTTCCTACAGTGTGGCTAGGAAAAGCAGACTGATAAGACAAAGCAAGGCATTCTGAGAAATAGTATGTTATTGTACTCTTTGTTTTGAGGGGGGTTTTTTTGGAAACATGGTCTTACTATAGGTGGCTGTCTTTTTTTTTTTTGGTACCCAGGCTCGAACTCGGGTCCTTGCGCTTGCAAGTGAGACGGAGGAACCACTGAGCTAAATCCCCAGCCCTGCATGGTCTTACTATGTAGTTGAGGCTAGCCTCAAACTCACTGTATACAGCCCAAGCTAGACTCAAGCTTGTGATCCTCCCGCCTTAGCTTCCTGAGTGCTGGGATTACAGGCACGTGCCACCACTGTACCCCCACCCCCGCCGTAGTTCTAATAGTCTTTAAAAGGAGTTAAGTTAGCAAGTTGTATTGTTTTGTTTGTGGTAAAGTACTGCAGACTAGTGACTTAAATAACAAATTCATTTCCTCACAATTCTCAAGGCTGGACATTTAAGATGAATATGTTGGCAGAATTGTTGGGTTTCTTGAGGTATCCTTGGCTCATAGAAGGCTGTCTTCTCCCTATGTCTTCACATTCTTAATGAAACCTATCAGTATCTAAATTTTCTTTTATAATATTGGATTAGGGACTACTGTGATGACATCATTTTAATTTAATTACCTCTTTGGAGCCCAGTCTCCAAATGCAGTCACATTCTGAGGTACCAGGATTTAGGATTTCAGCATACAAATGGTGGGGGTGGTGGAGGGACACAACTCAGTCTAGCGGTATCTCTTCAACTGGGAGAAGCTTGATTTGGTAACAACTTTATATTGCTTAATATTGTAGAATTCCATAAAATGACATTGGTTTTTGTACTTTGATTGTAGTACTTTTTAAATAACAATAGCAAAAACAGCCTTTTAAAATAAATGTACATAGGATATGCTTTCTTGATCAGATTTGGCCGGGAGGTAATGGGGATTGACTACAGGGGTGCTCTACCACTGAGCTACATCCCCAGCCCTTTTTATTTCTTTATTTTGATACAACATGGTACTAAGTTGCCTGGGCTGGCCTTGAACTTGCAATCCCCCTGTCTCAGGGTCCCGAGTACCTGGGGTTGCTGGTGTGTACCACCACTCCCCGCAAAAATTATTTTTTTACTGCCATGTTGACATATTTTACTTCCCTAACCTGATCCTAAAATGCCAAAAGAGAAATGAGAAGCACCATTTAGAGTATTGTCACTCTTATCCTAAATGCATAAGTAACTCCAAAACCGAAAGTGCCAGAGGGTGGAGAATCTTAAATCTTTTGAGATAGTTGCGGTAATACATCAGCACTTTCCACTTCCACTTCCTGATAATAGGTTGCTTTGGATACATTTTTAAAATAACAGTGCACTTTTGGCCATATTTAGATTTAGTATTTATAAATGTGATGAGTTTTTTCTCTTTTTATTAGTATATGTTTGCAATATATAATAAATACATTCATTGTGGGGAATTGGTACATACACATATTACACCTTGATCCTTTTTTCTTCCCTTTCCCCTCTTCTCCCTCCCGTCATCTCCTCCCATATTATCATTACTTTGTGTATGACTAGGTTTTTAAAGAAGTACGTTATCTAGTGGAAAGCTGCCAGAAACACCTGTTTGGTACATCAGTCTTAGCTCTTTGAGTTGTAAGAATTAATTGTTCATATTTTGGTTTTGCTTATATATATGTGAGTCATTTGGAGTAAATTTGTTTTACATCTCTGTGAAAATCTGATTACAAATACTTAAAACATATTAAATGGCCTGAATATAAGTCAGTTATATCCCCAAGTATAAACTGCCTTTTTTTTCCTGGTACCTGGAATTGAACCCCTGGGCCTTTGTACTGAGTTACATCCCCAGCCTTGAGCTATATCCCCAGCCTTTTTTTTTTTGAGACAGTCTTGCTTAGTTGCCTGGGCTGTTCTAGAAATTGTGATTTTCCTGCTTGAGCCTCCCAAGCAGCTGAGATTATAGGCATGGACCACCATCCTGGGCAGGTATTTTAAAAATAGATCTGTGTAGTGTTTTTTTGTTTGCTTGCTTTTGTTTTTTAGGTGTTTCTATATCAGGAACCTAAGATGCCTCTAAAAATGTTGTTTTTCCATCTTTTGAGTCCTGTAACACCTACCACTTGGAACAAAAGAAAACTTTCAGTTTCACACAGATACACTCACACCCAGATACTAGACAGACAGACATTTTGCTTGCACTCCACCCTGCTGTGCCCTGCCCTGCCCTGCCCTGCCCTATTGCTTACATAGCTATAGAGGTTGATTAAGATATTTCTTTTTCTGCCAGCCAGTCTATGTGGTAAAAGGACAACAATGCCTGCTATCCTGTAGAGTTTATTCAGAGTCACAAAGCAGAATCTGGGACTTCTTCAAGAAGAAGGAAGTACAGCTAGAACCAAGAATGGGCATTATCTAGAGATGGGAAAAGTTTAGAGTAAAATGAGCACAGCCCAAGCCACAACAACATACCTCCTAGGCAAAATCATCACTACAGTCAAAGAGGTACAGTGGGGGGGGGGGCACACCCTTCTTGAAACATGTAAGTCTTCTAGCTCTTGGCACATGAACATTTGTGTAGAAAACACTTGTGCTCTTCTGGCTACTGGCTTTGACTTGGTAGGAAGCAGTCTGTGAATAGTCCAGATGGTATGATAAGTGAGCTCATTTTAAATCACCCATTGGTAACATAAAAATGTTTGATATTTAGCCTTATTTATTTAGCAGTACTGAGGAGATTGCACTCAGGGCCATTGCACCAAGTTACATCCACAGCCCTGTTTCTTACTTTTTATTTTCAAGACAGGATCTTACTAAGCCACCAAGTTGTCCAGGCTGTGCTTGAATTTGTGGTCCTTATCTATCAGCTTCCCAGAGTTGGGATTACAGGAATGTACCACCACACCAGCTCATATTTAGCTTTTAAGTGAGCTTATTTTTTCAGGGTATTAAAATATGTACAACCTTATCCTTTTTTATTTTATAGATTTATATGGTATTTTAATTGAGAAGAATAAAGCTTCATGTCGCTACAGCTGGCTGTACCACAGAGTATGATAATGTATCCAAACAACTTGTCCACAAGTGGATTTTATTTCAGATTTATAGACTGTGGCATTCCTTAGAAATATCTGTGTATAAACTAAGGAAAGTTGGGTCTTGAAGGTATTTTAATGGAAGGAATGAGTGGAGCATCTGTTTGAAATGAGCTTGTCTTTCAAAGTCATTTAATGGATGATAACAATGACAAGTAACAGCTCATTTAGAAAATAGGGAATGAGTCTGTAGACTATAATGTGACATGCCAAAGCTCTAGCAATTGTATTTCTGATAATGAATGTGGGGTTAGAAACAGCCTTTTCCCGAAAATCTTGGGCCACATAATTCTGCCCATATATTGGACAGAAATTGCTGGAATAGCTTAAACAGTGGTTTTCCTGCTAGGTTTAATACCCAGCACTGCAAAAGGAAAACAGAAAAGGATTTGTTTAGATGTTGGTTCTGTATTTTTGACTGCATAACTAACCTATACTTCTTCCCCTAGATTATTGATTCATAGTTTAGTGACTGGTTCTTGGTAGAATGAAATAGCCAAGAATTTACTGCTGCGGTTTTTTCCTGCTTCAACACTTTTCCTATTTGACTGTTTGGTTTGAGCAACTCAAATAAGTTTGCAGTCTTGGTGCCTTTAATTTAAAGCTTCTCTTTTCTTGGGGGTGGTATTGCTAAAAACCGAACCCAGGGCCTCACACATGCCAAGCAAATGCTGCATCATTGAGCTATACCCTTAACCCCCCCCCTTTTTTAAATTGCTTGGCTTAAAATGGGAAAACAAGTTGGGCATGATGCCAAACACCTGTCATCTCCACACTCAGGAGGCTGAAGCAGGAGGATCCCCATGATTTGAGGCCAGGCTGGAATACATAGCGAGACCCTGTCTCAAAAGAGAAAAAGAAATAGAAAAACAAACAAAAAATTTGCCGATAATTCAGTATTTAATATTTCAATGTAAATGGGGAAATGTAGAAGCTAGAAAGATATAGTCAGTCCTATAGACAAAGTAGAAATGGTCATATGTTGATTTATTTGCTTTTGGTTAAGTGAGTTGAGAATTTTTCTTACGAATTTGGCAGATTGAACATTTCAGTGCATTGTGCATATGTAATAATGATTAAAGCAAATACACTTTTGTCAATTCAAAGAGAGGAAGTTTCAAGTGACATTCATAAGTTAGGTTAGTCCTTGAAGTGGCACTGGACATTTTAAAGTGAAAAAGCCCCTACTTTCCCTAATTATAGTTGTAAAAGGAAGTCAGATTCCTGGTGTTTTTCGTATACAAAGCTTCAGCTTGAAGAACTAGTTGTTTCTTCTTCCTTATCCACCTACAGCTGTCAGCCTTTGTTAGTTATGACAGTTGATAATGGGATTTATGAAATTGTTTATAGTATAGTCACATGGTATATTAATCAGTGTTTCTGTTACCGGGACACAATACCCAACACCATAAACTTAAAAGAGGAGAGTTTTAATTTAGCTCATGGTTCAGGAGATCCAGTCCATGGTCTGCTGGCTCCAAGGTACAAATATCATGGTGGAAAGCTGCCTAATTCATGGCATCTGGGAAGCAGAGCAGGGGAACAATGCCAGAGAGGAATGAAGAGAGACCATACATAGTACTTAGGTTCATGCCTCTATGACTCACCCAGACACACCCAGGAGCATGCTTTGCTATTCTGCTGGGCATTTCTTTTTCTTTTCTTTTTTTTTTTTTTTTTGGCACCGGGGATCAAACTCGGGTCCTTCTGCTTGCGAGGCAGGTGGTGGCACCACTGAGCTAAATCCCCGACCCATGCTGGGCATTTCTTAATCCAATCAAATTGATATCTAGATTAATGGTCACACATAGACAATAAATGTCTTATTATTTTGCAGCATTGGACATTTTACCATCATGCTGATGGCATCATAAATATATTTGTCAGCCTCCCCAAATTTCAACTACTGAAGAAAACCTTGAGTTTATTCTTGAGGACTAAAGTGTGACTCTACCAGTTACCAGGTCAGTATCACCTTCATCCCCACCACAGAAGTTATCACTGCCATCCTATAACAGTGCAGTTTTATGTTCTTTATATTTCAGACAAAATTTATTGTAATATTGAGATTAGATTCAAATGTATAGAACAGCAAGAATTACTACTAAATTACTTATAAGAAAGGTTACTGGAATACATTGTTTCTTGAGTTACACAACTATGGCCTTTATAGTGTTTATATTGTATTCACTTCATGTAAACACTAAGCTAAATGAGTTGGTATATATTAGTAAAATGTTCCAGATGTGAAAATTTGTGTGTAGAATTGATTTATAGATATGAAGATAACAAGTAAGAATATTATTCATTATGTCATTAACAAAGAATACAATTTTTTTCTTGCCTAAGCTAGACTGCTTTATTTATAATTAAGGTAACTAAAAATTATATTATTTGTATTCTCTTATATTTATCATATCAAAAATGTTGAGATATGTGTATGTTAACCTCTTATTTAATTTTACTCTCTAAAAATACTTGATTTTTACCTAGAAGCTTAAAATGGATCCAAGAAGGACTTTGGAGATTGTCTCCTTTGTTTTATTTCACCTATTAGGAAATTCAGGGCCAGAACAAATGAGTAATTTTCCTTCCTCAAGGCCTTATAGCTGTTCGTTGGCAAAGCCAAGACTAAAATTCACACTCCTCACTCTCAGACCATTGTTTTACTCCTATCTTTATATTGCCTCTTTAGCCCATAGTTTTGGAACTTTAAGAACATTTAAGAATTGCTAAGATACTGAAGAAAAAAGAGCAATATGTGTGAATGGTGTCATTTTTTAAAAATATTCCTATCTTTCTTACCTTGGTGCTTACACGGCCTGTTGATTTACTCTGTGCAGTTGGTAGTTATGGGGTTCCTTTACCGTGTACCCATCATTCTGCTTAACATCGTGGAAGGGGAAAGGGAGAACATTAGATGACAGGCTATTTCCTCTGCCTTATGATCTGATGGAGGTAAAAACGTGAAACCATGGCAAAGTGGTGGAGGGGTGAGCTCTTTTAAGAAAGCAGTGTAAGTCAACTGGTAGTTTAAGTGCCTCCTCATTCTTCACCCCAGGGTACTATCACCATCCTTCATGTGTGGTTCCCAAGTACAAAAGGGGCAGCTGAAGGTATTTCTGAGGTCAATGATTTTGGCAGCCTGCAATTTTGGTAATGCCTTTCTTAGAACTCTTGGAAAATGAGATGGTAATAATTATTAGTAATTCAACCACTAATTAGGCAGTAGTATCTGAAACTTGCTAAGATATTTACTTTTATTAACTCAGTCTTCACAGCAACCTTATGAGTTACAACATCATCAAGAGATGAGAAAACTGAGAATCAGAAGTTAGTGTTTGAAATGTACTAGGTAAAATTTCCAACCCTCCCCCCATCTTCCCTAGTGGTTGCAAAAGGGAACCACCCCTCACACAACTAGAAAGATGCAGACCACACAAAGCCTCATGTTCTTCCAATATACCATCATATATTAATTGTAATTTTATTAGGTTTGCTGGGGAGTTTTATTTGGGGTTTTTTTTTTCAGTTTTTATTTTCATAATAACTTTATGAGACCTGTCTCTAATTCTAAAGAAAAAAGGTAGCAGTTAGAACTGAGCATATATTGAGGATATTTTACTGTGTTGTAAAAGACTTGTACAGTATGTCCTGGAACACAGTGTCATGACACATGGACATGCACATGGTGTACATATTCTTCACTTAAAGGCAGTAGCTCTACAAAGAGTCAGTGACTCCTGTGTGCCCCTCAAATTTAATAAGAGTGAAAGATTACTGGAGAGTGTGTGAACTAGTCATGTTGTGATTTTTTTTTTTTATTAAGTTAATTGGTACATTTTAGGTATACAATACAGTTACGTTCATCATTGGGAACTTGTACTGTTACATGATGTATCTTCGTTCTTATTTTTTCCCGTTCCCCTGCCTTCCCTTCACCCCCTCCTCCCTTCCCTATTTACAAAGACTTTGTTTCCAGTTTTTCCTTTTCTCATGTTTTTTTCTTTTCCCTTCTTTCCTTTCCCCTACCCCTCCCACTTCCCCTACCCCTTTAGACCTTTTCTTCTTATTTCAATTATCAGTTATACATTTCGATCCTTATTCATACTTTTAGTTTTTTACACCAGAGAAACTATTCTGTTATTTACACATGTGTGTCCTATTTATTTTATTTACGAATATAGCCTCAATGTGCATCCATTTAGCTGTAAATGTCTCTAGTTTCTCATTCTTTGTGGCTGAGCAGTACTCCATTTTATAAAAAAAAAAGCCCACATCTTCTTTATCCAGTCTCCAGCTGATGGGCAAGTGGGCTGTTTCCAAGTTTTAGCTATGACAAACTGTGCCATTATAAACATGGGTACACATATATTGCTGTGGTACGATGCTTTTAATTCTCTTGGGAAGATCCCCAGCAGAGGAATAGCTGGGTCCAATGGGACTTCCAGTCCTAGTTCTTTGAGGTATCTCCATACTGATTATCACAGTGGTTGCACCAGTCTGCACTCCCACCGACAATGGAGAAGGGTTCCTTTCTCCCCCACCTCTACCAGCATTTGTTATTGGTTGATTTCTTGATAGCAGCCATTCTTTCTGGGGTGAGGTAGAATCTCGGTGTTGTTTTCATCTGCATTTCTCGAATGACCAGTGATGTTGAACATTTTTTCATGTGTTTATTTGCTGCTTTTACTTCTTTGTCTGAGAAATGTCTGTTCATTTCAGGTGCCCATTTTTGCATTGGGTCTTTATATTTGGGAGGGTCTGGTTTTTTTGAGTTCTTTATATATTTTAGGTAGTAGACCTTTGTCTGAGGTACAGCTGCTAAAAATTTTTTCCCACATTGTAAGTTGTCTCTTAGCTCTGCTGATGGTTTCTCTTGCAGTGCAGAAGCTTTTTAATAAGATGAGATCCCAGTTGTTGATTCTTTGTGCTAGCTCCCATGCTACTGAGGATTTGTTCATAAAGTCTTTTCCTATGCCAAGATCTTGAGAATTCTACCTAAGTTATCTTCCAGCAAGTTTAGTGTTTATTTTAATATTTAGATCTTTAATCCACTTCAATTTTAGTTTAGTTCATGGTGAAAGTCAGGGATCTAGTTTTAATCTTTGGCAGGTTGAAATCCAGTTTTTCCAACACCATTTATTAAATAGGCTGTCTTTCCTCCAGTTAAGATGGTTGGCTCCTTTGTCAAAGATGAGGTAGCTGAGCATGTCTGGAGTTGTTTTTGCATCTTTTAATCTATTCCACTGATCCTCGGTCTGTTTTTTTTGCCCTTACCATGCTGTTTTTATGTTGTGATTTACTTTAAACTATGTGAGGGCCGGGGATTTAGCTCAGTGGTTCCGCCGCTTGCCTTGCAAGCACAAGGTCCCGAGTTCGATCTCCCATACCAAAAAAAAAAAAACTGTGTGTGGCTGGAGATTTATCTCAGTGGTGCCGACGCCTGCCTTGCAAGCACAAGGTCCTGAGTTCGATCCCTGGTACCAAAAAAAAAAAAAGAAAAGGAAAAGAAAGAAAACTATGTGAGAGACAATTTGGAAGTTAAAAGTAAGAAGGAATATGGAATTAGCTCTGCCTTGGAAGTTATAAAAAGTATCTTACAATACACACTGGTCACACTCTTCGAAGATTTTATAGCACACTAATTTCTGTCTGTATTTTGTGAGAAATTAATCTTGTGGAAAGGATTGAGTTTGTGCCATGCAGTTTGCCTTTTAACATATTTCAAAAGATGCAGATCAACAGAGAAATGTGACTTTTTAAAAAGTTTTTATTCAATAAAATTGGGCCAGGGATTTAGCTCAGTGGTTCTGTCACTTGCCTTGCAAGCGCAAGGACCTGAGTTCGATCTCTGGTACCAAAAAAACCAAAACAAACAAACAAACAAAAAGTTTTTATTGTGAGACAAATCACTATCCTAAGTCACTAAGTTGCCCAGGCTGGGCTCGAGATCCTCCTTCCTCAGCCTCCCAGAATGCTCAGTTACAGACATGAGCCATCATACCCAGTTGAAACAATGTTTAAGAAGTCATTTGTTGTGTGGTTGCATTTAAGCCAATTTACTCTATAAAATATAAATATTGTGCTGCCAGTAGTTACTCTTTATGAAAGTAGACAATTTAAAAGCAAAATTTCTCCTATATTCCTACCAAATACTGTCTTGTCTCAAATTTCACTTCAACTAATTGAAGAGAGATGCCAGAAACTCTTGTACCTGCTGATATTTGTTTTTGTTTTTGTTTCTTTTGGTAATAGGGATCGAACTCAGGACCTTGGGCGTGCAAGGCAGGTGGCGGCACCACTGAGCTAAACCGCCTGCCCCAGAAATTCTTATATACAGTTTTAGAATTTGTTTATCTAAAAATGGGAGATCTTTTCATGGTCTAATTATTTTCCAGTGAAATAATGTTCACTGTAACACAATTCTACCTGAATTTCTAGTGAACAAAATTAGTTACTAATTCTTCCTTTTTTTTTTGGTACTGATGATCAAACTCAAACTCGGGTCCTTGTGCTTGTGAGGCAGGCAGTGGAACCACTGAGCTAAATCCCCAGCCCAAGTTACTAATTCTTTATGAGACCTAAATTATTTGTTTGTAAATGTACTTGAAAAATGGTGAAAAATTGATCTTTCTGATGAAATCAGTAATTCAAATTTTATTTTTTATCACTGCTCAATTTGTGATTAACATCAGAAAGTTCTTAGATTTCTATTTAATTTTCACCATTTCCTTTCTTAAAACATTTTATACTGTGATTATAGCATGCTTCTTTTTTTTATTAGTTATATACAATTAACTCTATCTTCTGAAAAGATTACCTGATTGTTGTATTTGTTGTAGGCTTTCAGGATGAATCTGGAAAAACTCAGCAAGCCTGAACTCCTGACCCTATTCAGTATTCTTGAAGGAGAGCTTGAAGCAAGGGACCTTGTTATAGAAGCTTTAAAGGTATGTTCAAAGAAAAGAAAGAGAAGTCACCATATATTTTGAAAGTCATTTCATTCACTATGATGTATTTAACTAGGATATTGCTGTAGATACGGCCTCTGTGGTGAGATTTGAGCCCCTCTGCCCTCAAAATAGTTCCTTTAGTTTCTGTATCTGGTCTCTAGATCTTGACCTTCATTATTTTACTGTGCTTTTGCTGTTTTTGAATGCTGACCCCTTTGAGGACTTGATGAGACCTACTTCCCAAAGAAAAAATATATATTTGTATGCCAAAATTGAGGATACTGTATCTGGGAGATCAAGGACCCCATGAAGACATCTATGGATTCCTTGGACCCCAGATTAAGAATTCTTACTTTTTGTTAAGTATCAGACATGTGTTAAAAGTTAGGGGCAGGAGAGGTACTATATTAGTGAGCATAAGAGGCACATGGAAACTCTGTAAAGTCGATGAAAAAAATTACAAGGGGGCATTCCTGCTTTCAAGGGTCAAGAGTTCTTTACCATTTCAAAGGATTTTCCCTTCCTGTCTTGAGAGCATATTTGCATAGAAGGGAAGTTAAGAGAATTGGTGTGAGAAGTAGACAGATGATACTCCCTAAAAGGCAAGGGGAAATGACCAAAGAACATGAGACTGGAGCATGGTGAAGAAAGATTAGTTCCGGGAAAATGCAACTTAGTAGAAATCTAAGGGTTGGTTTGATTGTTTTTGCAGTACTGGGGATTAAACCCAGGGCCTTCACACAAAGCCAGTGGTAGTGAACCTGTGGCACGCATGCCGCAGTGGCACACAGAGCCCTCTCTGTTGGCATGGGAGCTAAATCGCCCCAGCAGTCGAGCATTGGATACCAGTTGTTTTTCTAATCTAAAACCTCAGTATTCAGGTTTAATTACAGTGTGGCACTTGGCAGTAAATAAGTAGGTTTTAAGTTGCAGTTTGAGTACTCAGTCTCTAAAAGGCTCGCCATCATTGCATTAAGCTATGTATATCCAATGCCCTTTTTTATTTTGATACAGGGTTTCACTAAATTGCCCAAGCTGGGTTTAAAATCGTAATCCTCCTGCCTCAGTCTCCCAGATTGCCTAGATTACAAGAATGTACCACCATTTCCAGCTAAGAAGACTTTTATATGAAGAGATTTTGTTTTCTGGTTTTTGTTAAGACAGCATGTAACTGTGTAGCCCAGATCAGCCTTAAACTCCCTGTCATCCTGCTTCAGCCTCTCAAGTAGTAGGATTCAGGAGGATTTTTGTGTGCTTGCTATAGTACTGAGGATTGAACCTTTTGTGTGGAACTACATACTCTGTCCTTTTTTCAAATTTCTTAAAATTTTGAACAAGGTCTCCCTAAATTGCTCAGACTAGACTCAAACTTGTAGTCCTCCTATCGCAGCCTTCCCGAGTGTTGGAATTATAGGCATGAGCCACTACGCCTGGCTTAAGGAGAGGTTTTTTTTTTATATACATCTTAAATTTCAGCCAAAAAAAAGTTTATTAAACTTCAAAATTATTCTAGCTCTTTATTGAATAAAAGGGACATTTATATTAATATTTCATGGGTGTTCATATGAAGCTGCTTTGTTGAAGGGGTTTTATTTTTGGTACCAGGGATCGAACTTGGGTCCTTGCGCTTGTGAGGCAGGTGGCATAACCACTGAGCTAAATCCCTGACCCTGAAGGTTTTTTTTTAATAGCAACAGAGATTGTTTTCTCAGTGCCATGCTGGAAAATCTGAAGTAGCCAACAGTCACAACTCAAGAGTTCATACAAAAAGCTGTATCTTTTATCTTGTTTTCCTTTTCCACACTGATTTATATGTGTGCCTTTAGACATATAGTAATTGAGTAGTCTTTTCTTGGATTACTCAGATTATAATTATGATTAAAAATAAAATCTAAACCATTGTTTCCATAACTGTTAAGTGTAGCATTAGCTTATGTCTTTTAAGACTAACTGAAAAAGATGGACTTTTCTAATTAGCTATGCCTCAAAGTAATTAGTCACTGAAACTACTACTCTTATTTTCCCTTATGGCTCTGTAATATGTAGTAAGTAATCTCCAGTGATTTTGTTTCTGCAGAATATACAAAGCAGTTCTCTTCTGAAGGGATAATCTGGTTTCCTTGGAGGGAGACCCATGGTTTCCTTGGAGGTCACATGTTCATAGCTTTGATACATGCCTAATTTATGTTAAAGTTCATTGCCTGACTTTTTGCCTGTCATGCCATTAAGCCTAACTATGTGACCTTGGTCAGTCTGTCTGGAACAAAGCTTCCTTGTCTGTAATAAGAATGTATGATCAATAACAAGTGTTTGCATATAACACTTGATAATTTGCATAATATTACAAATACTCCAACAATGTAGTATTCATTTTTTCTTTCCATTTATTCATATCCTGTCAGTGTATAACACGTATCCTGTATTCAAAGAGCCAGTCATTTGAGTAGATGTCTCTAGTGTATCTTCAAGGGTGCTTGCTTTTTTAATGACTTCCCTGACAACATGGGTAACATATCAATATTCACTCCAGTTGGTGACTCATTCCTGCCACATTTACACCCTTTCCTTTTATCATTCTTGGTGATTTCTTCGCCCTTCCCTATAAGTCCATGAAAACTGTTTTCATTTCTCATAACCCAATACTATTATTCTTTCTTTACCCTTCCCTGTAAGTTCATGCAAACCATTTTTGTTTCTCGTAACCCAGTACTATTATTAACAGTAGTCCAAATCTATTTAAACCCAGGACACATTCTCATTTCTTTTTTTCAGTAGTGTGGATTGTACCCAGGGAGTGCTGAGCTACATCCGTAGGCCTTCTTATTTTTAAATTTTGAGACAAGGTCTCACTCAGTTGTCCAGGCTGGCCTCAACTTTTGATCCACCTGCCTCAGCTGGGATTACAAACACATACCACTACAGCCAGCCACATTCTCATTTCATACCCTATATTAATTGATCAGTGAAGAGAAAAAAAGGATTGAGAAAAGTTTGAGCTTTTTCCTAATCCTCACTCCACTGCCCATTATTCTCACTTCTTCCCCACAGTTACCATCTGCCTTAATCCTCATAATGAGGTAATAGGAGGTGGCTACTGTAATGGAAAAATTAAAAGGATGACCTTGTTTTTACTTTTATAGTTTTACCAGTATAACCTCTGCTTTTCAGCCTTAGAAATGATGTAATACTATAGTGGTTTATGTGTCCAATTTACCAGCCATTATATCCTTAGCAGCTATGATGGTGCCTGGCATATAGATGATCAATAAGTATTCGTTGTTGGTGTCATTGCTTTTGCTGCTGAGGATTGAACCCAGGGCTTTGCACATGTTAAACACACACTGCCAGTGAGCTTCATCCCCAGCCCCAAATATTAACTAAATAAAAGGATTGTGCCATTGTTGTGTGTTACTTTAAAAGACTGCCATGATACTTCAAAGTAAATGTTATGAATTACTAAATCTTAAGACTGTTATGTGCTCTGTTTCACACTGCCTTCTGGTTTTATCTTAACAGATGCTTAGGTGTTTGTTGTACATATTTTCTTAAAATATATTTTTTCTTCATGAATCTAATTTTAGTTACTTCAGACAACTTCTGACAAGTTGAAAGAGCAGCTAGAGAACAAGAGCTGCTAATTAAGGAAGTATTTCAGACACAAATGTTATATTAGGCTATATATGATCTGTAGGTGATACAGATTCTGAAGCTTAACTTCTGTTCAGTTTAGGTGAAAGGAATAGCTTCACCAGGAGTGACACTTCTTTAAATAAAGTCTTGGCAGCTGGTGTGAAAGTTGTTTCAGCCCTGTAAAAAAAAAGAGCAAATACCATACCAGATTTTGGAGCTGAAACCTAAGGTCTTGTGTTTCCTGCGCAGGTCTTGTACTACTGAACTACATCCCACCACCACATTCTGTAAGTTAAAATGAAATGTCATTTTATTTGTAGAGTTTTTGTTTTGGTTCTGTAATGTATCAAGATTTTGCAGGGCTGGGGATGTAGCTCAGTGGCACCACGCCTGCCTCACAAGTGCAAGGTTCTGAGTTCAGTCCCTGGTACCAAAAAAAAAAAAAAAACGTTTTGCTGCCTTGTTGTTTTTACCTAACAACAAACATCTATTGGACTTTTTACATGCACATAGCAGCTTACATTTGTTTATTTATCTATCTATCATTCATTCATTCATTCATTTATGAGACAAGTTTTGTTATGCAGCCCATGCTGGCTTCGTACTCACAGTCCTCCTACCTTAGCCTCCCCAGTGCTAGGATTACAGGCATGTCCCACCATGTTTAGCCCTTACTAGTAGTTCTTAATTCATGGTTAGTGTTGCAAAGATTTTGGTCTATGTCCTAAATACCACGTTCTTGCTCTCTGTTCTTGTTTTCTTGCTCTCTGTTTTACTTTCAGTAAAAAAAAAAAGTTCATGTTTTCTTTATTTTTTTTTTCCCCCTCATTTTCAAAATAGATTTTTTCTGGACACCAAATCTATTCTTTAGCCTTGCGTCTCTGAACAAAACCACATGGCTGTTCCTTCACAGTGAATCGTAGGTTATACCGTCAAGGGCTGGTTCTTTAGGGATCTATTATGTATTTTAAAGTTCCCCATAGTTGGTAAGTGGATTCTACATATAAAGTTAGAATTATAAAAGAGCTTCATTCATATTCCAGAAATTCTGTAAAGTGCTGGATTGCAGCTGCACCCTTCTAAAGTCCCCAGGTGATGTTCTTTTGTCCCCCAAAAGCCTCCTTACTAATCCAAGACATGTTTGGCTTAGAACCAGAGAAGCCGATAGAAAATGCTGTAATATCCAGCCTGTCCTGTATTTGAAGTTTAGTTGTTAGAAACTACATACTCCATTTATACTGTATTTGGCCCCAGTTGAACTTTATATAATGTAATTTTCTGTTTTAGATGGCATCATATCATAGAAAAACACTCTTTAAGTGTTGTACAAGATAAAAGTTGTCATAGAAAGTACTGTGTCTCAAGAA